GGTCTAATGCATCTGACTGACTAATGTTAGTCGATCAAATCAATCTCAATGATTTTTTGCAGTAGTCCAACCGACCAGACCAATCTCGTTGTCTCCAGTGGTCTAGTCGGTCGCCCTTACTTGAAGAATTGACGGACTGATGGTCCCCATCCAGAAGGCCTACTAATATCACTTATTATCACGCATCTTCAACCGCAATCGACCAAGCCAGAGGACAGTAGGACTCTAGGCCCACAACCATATATTTACTAGAATAACTCGTACAACTCTCCTTACTAAAAATATTTGATTATATAAAAAATGGCACTGAAACTATTGACATCTACATTATTACCATATATATAATTTAAGAAAATGAATCATAAATCTATGCATTACAATACATTGTATATTTTGGAAGTAAACGACAAATTAAAAAAAATATTTTAAATGGGCATAACATGGATTTCGACCGTTGTAGTCATCAGATAGTGTTAGAACTCATTAATATATACCTTTCATATAAGAAAAGTGATTGCGTACATACCACACATTTCTTTTATATTTACACAAACAACACCGAAATTTTAACATTTGCATGCATAGCACACAAATTTTTAATTTTACATAAAAAAATGTCACCATGAGTATATCACCTACTTTTATTTAATGATAATAAGAAAATACCAAAATAAGATTAAGAAAAATAAATATCAATGTTGATAGTGTTCTTTACACTGGCCTTAGTGTTATCTTATATTACTTTTAGGGTCTGTTTGGGGCAGCTGCAACTTATTGAATAATTTGTTGATAAGCTGATTAAAAATAATTTGTTGATAAACTAGGTGCAATGACTATTACAAATTTTTATTTTTTTGGAAAAAATGACTATTACAAATTTTTTTATTATAAATTTTTATTTTTTTTGAAAAAGTCAGATCGCAGCCAGAAAGCTCCCACCCGCCTAGATTGGTGCGGTGTGAAAATATTGTTTTCAGCATTTTGAAAACGCAGTTTACCCAAACAGGTCAGGTGCGTTTTCAAAACATCACCGCACCAAATAAGCTGCCCCAAACGGACCCTTAATCTAACTGCTTCTTAAATATATTAGTTTCCAGTTTCTTTTTTTTTTAATATTAATGTTTAATGTAGTGTCGAGCAACGACATAGGACTTGATGCCTTTGAATTTTCTTGAGATGAGCTATGATTAAGGTTGATGTTTCATCATGCAACAAAAGTCTAAGGGAAGGAGAAATTTTGATTAAAAGTGAGGTAAATTATGAAGATTTTTTCTTTAATGACATTAATGCACACTATTGTGTTCACTAGTAGCTTTGAATTGAGACATTTTATTTTCATAGCTCATGAATATATGTATTTCTTTTTATGGAAATTATAAAAGCTACAAAATGATGACAAATGATGAATTTTGTATAAGAATGTCTTCAAGTTCTAAGAAGTTACCAACCAAAGGACAACATATTACAATTGAGATATTGCCCCTATGAGGCCATATTAATGTCAATCTCTTATAAGGCTTTAGATCTCATGCAACGTTCAAATCATTTTTCCTTTTGAGTTTTGAATAAATAAAAATACCTACTATTAATATTAGGATATGTTCTTGATATAAAGAATGGCTATGTACTTTTTGAGACTAATATCTTCAAAGATTTTTTCAGTGAGCTTTTATTTTTTAAAACCTTTAGCATGTTGAGATTTTTTTTAGAGAACATATTTCATTTAAGGTCTTTAGTCTTTTATAGTCTTTCAAAAAATATATATCATCTCAAATTGATTGTTTATGAGATTTTTTGACTTTTTGTCTTCTAAAGTATTTGAATAAATAAGTATTATTTGAGTTTTTTTTAATTTAGAGATTTTTTGAATGTGCGTATAATTTATAAGACTTATATATATATAT